GTGTATGATCAAATATCATTGTAGTATTACGAAGAACTGAGATAAATCAGCTTTCATTTAGCATAAAAGTTTTGAAATCCCCACACGATCGATGATTAGATTAAATTTACATTAAGAAATAGGCCACGACAGTAAATTTTATTGCAAAAACTTCGGATATTTGATGAGCTGCTCTGTATATCTGTTCAATAATTTAACGCGTTTTTTGAACGCTGATCGGATCATTTGGAATTACTTATTTTTTTGTTCAATGGTAGTTTTAAAAGTCTTGGAAGCAGCATTTGATATACTGCGAACGATAGTGAAAGAATACTAATGTCTGTTACAAGCGGCATCTTCAGATAGTTTGCCCAGTGTAGGAATAATCTTTCGTGCAAAAAGAAAGCACGAATTAGTGAGTCGAATAGTGCTACTACATATTGGTTTCCTCGGAAGAAGCTGGCAGGCTTTGCCTATCACAAGTTGTAGCCCAGAGCTTTGTTTAATTCAGTGATATAAAAGCATATTTCTTATTTAGTCGGTATATCAGAAGTTTTTGATCGGTCTATGTATGGGTAGCAGAGATGCAGGAAAAATTTCAATTTTATTTGGCCAATTGTCTACTCGAGCCATGGAATTTATAAGTGTCACTAAGATAAGCAACAAACGCTCTGATTCTTTTCTGATCATTTCTGAGTCATCATCAGTGGCTCTTATACCGTGGTCAGGATTGGGTTCTCAGTTGGTTAAGCGTGAAATTTATGTCGCAAGGAAAGAGTTTATTTACTTTATCATTTCTACACTGAGCTAAAAATGCTGTTTTAGGCTTTTGCTGAGCATGTTGTATTTGGTATCATCCACTTCCAAGACGGCATCTTATTTTGTCAGGCTTTGAAATCTGAAGACTTGCGTGTTTTCCAGCTAGAGTGATAGTGGGCTTTACATATTGCATCTACATATTAGCATTGTTAAGGTTTCTGTTGCTTCTTCGAAGTCGCATTTTTAGATTTGTGTTTTTTTCAATAAAGCTACTAAAAGAACATTATTGAAATTCTGTCGCTACATGGACGTGATGAAATGTTTTTCCAATCTTTTGAGATATGAGTGCTCAAAAAACATTCCAATCCTGATTCTAATATCTAATAACCGTTATTTCATTGAAATGTGACAAAAAGAGTCCGGTAGGTTTGAGATTTTGGAGTGCTCGGAAGGTCAATGGGTTGGGTCTATGATCAAGAGAATGTTATACCTAGTTCCTTTCGTTTATGACACCTTAAAGAGGTGCCACAAGATTGTTGAGTTCGACGACAATAGCAATTCGACTAATGCCACTTTCGTATCCCGGTGAAAGTAATTTACTCATCTTTAAATATTTATATGTAATGTTCATGTTCATTCGGTTTGGTCCTGGCTTTTACCAGATTTAACAATTGATATTTCGGAGAGTGGAATTGGGGTCTTTGTTAGTTCTTCTTTCAAAATTCTCAATAAGACATGTACTATTTAAGGTTTGATATTTACTTGCTCTTTGTGGTCAGGTTGAAACCTTGAGTGGTCTTTATGTAGGCTTTCAGAATTTCTATCTTAGCCGCAGTTCTTCTGCTGCATGCTCCTACAGCACCGGTTATTTCTGTACTATTGATGTGCTCTCGCCTGTTTTGCCCCTTCCTTACCGATGTATACAGGGTGTCCCTCCGGGAACCGCCACCATCGATATCTGACAAACTGTAATTAGGAAAAATTTGTGACAGTGTGCCAAGGTCATTGGGGGCAAGCGGTCTAAAGTATTTTCAAAATTACCACACTTCCGGTTATACCGGAAGTAGGTATCCACTTGCTTATTTTAAATGTAACACCCTATATGTATATTATTACATTTGGAATTCTAGTCCAAATTCTAAATATATTTCATATACAATTTCCTGTAGCCGTCTAACCGTTTTTGATATATTTGGAATTTTATGTAAAAAATGATTGTTGCAGCCACTCGAATAATTATTCATTTTTCCTATAAAAGAAATTGTCATACTTATTTTGAGTAGCATTTATTGTTGAAAAGGACTTTCTTTAATGGAATTTTGAAACCATTTCGAAAACTATTAATACAAATTGTTAAAAAAATAAGTTTCAAAATACAGTTGAGAAAACCGCCCAAAATATATTTTTTTAACGAAAACCCCCATTTTTTATAATTTTGTCATATTCAGTATTAAAAATCCTGTCACTCTTAGTTGCCATGACGAAAGTGGCCATTTTTAAGGCAATCAAATGCCAAAGGAATGCTGAGAGCTGTCAGTTACCTTGTGAAATAATTAATAATCATGCCAGGGCGCTTCTATTATATAAACGATAATTATTTAATCTTATTTATTATATATTTTTTGTCTGTTACAAGCGGCATCTTCAGATAGTTTGCCCAGTGTAGGAATAATCTTTCGTGCAAAAAGAAAGCACGAATTAGTGAGTCGAATAGTGCTGCTACATATTGGTTTCCTCGGAAGAAGCTGGCAGGTTTTGCCTATCACAAATTGTAGCCCAGAGCTTTGTTTAATTCAGTGATATAAAAGCATATTTCTTATTTAGTCGGTATATCAGAAGTTTTTGATCGGTCTATGTATGGGTAGCAGAGATGCAGGAAAAACTTCAATTTCATTTGGTCAATTGTCTACTCGAGCCATGGAATTTATAAGTGTCACTAAGATAAGCAACAAACGCTCTGATTCTTTTCAACGCTCTTCAACAACCTTTTCCGCTCTTTTGGGTTGACAGTAAAGCTGTGTGGCAGTATCCTTCAGTATATATGACCGTTGTGAACCAGTATATACCAGAGCCCTAACTACTTTCGAACCTCTATCTACTTTTATGGTCACCCGCAGCGTTTGCAAAAATACTTGAGTAGACGTGTGATTAGCTAGCGTATGTTCCCTAAGATGACTACCATTTGGTTCGTCCGACGTGGATGGTTCACCCTGCTTGTCATTTCCACCTTCCTGCTTAGTTGTTGCGGGTAGCTCAGAGCACATTAAAGAAACGTAAGAACGACTACATAACAAACATCTCATCCTGCCCTTACACTGTTTCGACTGGTGACTGAATTTTCAGACAACGAAAACAGGCTCTCCGTTTAGCAACCACTTCTTTCCGTTGTTCCAAGCTCATTCTTTGGGCTTTAAAACAGGCCTCGGACAAGTGAGTACCTGAACAAAACAGACAGCGACTAGTGCGACCACTCTCTGCATTAACAAGACCCAAAGCAGTTGGTTCGTTATGAAGTCTGTCTTTTCCCCGTCTTTGTGCAGCATAGTCTCCTCCAGATGACCTCGTACCACCGGCTAAACCAAAACCTGCAGCTGCTAAACAAATGCGCTGCTCATTTTCCACCTCTTGTTTGAGGAAAGCATAAGTCGCTTTAGACAAACTTCCAATGAAGAGTCAGTTGGGTCCTCACCACTAGCAGGGCTATTAAAAATAGCTGAACGTTTCCAGACCCTAAGTAAATCCTGGGGTAAACAAGACTCTATCAATGGATACAACATGGCCGAACATTTGTCAGTTGTTATCCCCAGTGTCTCCAAAGCTCGCAATTGAGTTTCAATTTAATCATACAGACTGCTTATCTCCAACTTTTGTTTAGAGGTTGTGTTGGTTAAAATCAACTTTAATAACTCCCTAACATATACCTCTATTTGAAAGTCCTCCCTTCCGAATCTACTTTGCATGCTTTCTATAATTTTATTATAGTTCTCACTCATGGCGGGATAGCTTTCAATAAGTTGTCGGGCACGACTTCCAGGTAAAGTTGCCTGAATTAAGTATTCAATTTTATCATGGTTGTCTATACTTTCATCTTGATAAACCTTTTTAAATTGAGCCCAAAAAGCCAACCAGCCTTTAATGCTATCGTCATAGTGTTTGAACTCAATTCGAGGAAGTCTAAATTTACGCATACCTGTGTAGTTATCTTCGAAACTGACGGTACTTCTTCCATCAGCCCCTCTGTTGTCACTACTTCCAGTTARGGCGCCTGATTCAAGAAGCTTGTTACATTTCAGCCGCAGTGTAGTGAATTTCTTGGTATAGACATCACAGCTTTCTATATCAGATTCAAGTTCGGCGGCTGTCGATGTTTCCAACAACAGGTCATACAGTTCTCAGTCAATTTTGCTCAGACAGTCGAATTTTGACTGTAACATTTCGAGGGAAACTTGTATAAAATCTTTGTCAGGATTTTCCGACTGTAACTCCACTTCTAGTTCGTTTGCGGTTCGTGTAAACGCACTCCGGTACGCGGTATGGCTTTTTTTGTAACTTCAAGTCCCGTAGCCGTGATAAACGTTTTGCAAACCCGATTCAAAATCACTCAAAGTTTCGAGGTTAAAGCGACAAGTTTGAAACTCGGTGAAAGTTTGCAAAACTCAACTAGGTATGCTGGTACGGATTTTCCACACACTGTTCAGAGTTACACAGGTGTTTAACTGTTTATGCACAGACCGAAAAGTTCCACTATTTTTTTCCAGAAAATGTCCTGTCACGGTCGCTTAATGTTGTGTCGTGCACCAAAAGAAACTACCCGTTTCAAAGGGCCGTCGACGGGTTCGTTAAATAAAACTGCCGAGATGTCTGCACATAAAACTTTTTTCTAACAATGTCAAAATCTTACTGGTTTTTATTTTTAGGTTTTGTTGTATTTGACTCGCTCTCGTCTCTCTCTCTATTCATCCGCCTCATATACTCGCATCTCTGACAAACTAAGAGGGTGAAGTTACAGCTATAACCTTCCAGGCTACTTTTTGATGGTTCACCTTACAGATGTCTTGAGAAGATCCACATACGTAGCTGGTTTCATCATGACCTTACATTTCATTATAAAATTGCGATACCAAGATAGAGAACAATCTCTTATTGCCTTATTTTTTCTCGTTTCACAAACAGCATTCTGACCCTGGTCATCGTAATATTTAATGTTGTTCTATCATAATATAATAATTGTATTTTTCTCATTATTTATTATTTTATCGCAGGCCATGGGTCACAGCCACTCTTCTTCACACAAACGTTTACGATCAATATCATCATCCAGATATGGTGCAGAATTTACAGAAGTTGTCGACTTAGAGTTCAGCGACACCAGTGTTTATTCGGAACCAGTTGGAAATAGTTCAGAAAATAAATCCGTCAAACCTGTTACAACCAATCTTAAAAATTGCAATAAACTGAACAGTGTGCCGGAAGAGATGGCGCAAATTCAGTACCCGAAAGATCTGTTACTACTAGATGATCATGTCAAAGAAATCGCTGATCAAATTGATACTTTATCGTCGGAAGAATTTTTCGTTTATTTTCCGTCGCTCAAGGACGATCTTCATAATTGCTGGCAAAAGGTCTACAGCATTCGGGAGGAGAATTCCGAAATTAAATTGAAAAAACATGCAATTATTGACAGTATTAGAGAATCTCTGAAGAAATTGAATATCAAGCTGCAACAAAGAGAATTTGGTGGATAAAATGGTTTTGATCGGAAAGCCACATTTAGTTGAAGACTTTTTTTGTATAAAAACAACACTATATTAACATGCGGCTTTAAAAACTAAAACTATATCGATCTGATTTCCTATTTAAAAATCGAGATCTTTGTATAAAACTTCTTGAACAAACTTTATTATAACAAAATTATATATTTAAAGTTTTTTTAATGTAATTATATCGACCAAAACTTGAACAATCATACATTTTTAAAGATTTTAATCCCGAAGAATATTTAGCGTGTGACAATAAACTTGGTTCTCTACGGAAATTGCAGGCTGTTTTTCTATACATGTTACCTTATCTGTTGTACAAATTGAAAATTTCTAGGTGTGCTCTGCTTTGCAATGTGATCAGAAGACTTTAGGTATGTGACAAGTTCTTAAATGTATGGTATTCGCAACTAATTCCAGTCCTTTCTTCTTCTTCTTCTTCTTCTCTTGCTTCTTCAGGTACCTTGTCTGTCTCAGACGTTGGCTATCATCATGTTTACGATTTCTTGGAATTCGCCTTTATCAGATGCAGCTCGAAATAGTTCCCCGGCTGGAAGACCACACCATTGCCTAATATTGCGTAGCCAGGATAGCTTTTTTCGCCCTTTACACCTTTTACCATCGACTTGTCCCTGTATTATGAGGCGCAATAGCTGGTTTTTAGGTCCTCTAATTATATGTCCAAAGTATTCCGTTTTTCTCCTTTTCATAATGTTCAGCAGTTGTAGTTCCGTGTCCATCATTCTGAGGACATCCTCATTTGTAGTATGCGAGACTCACGGTATTTTTAGAATTTGGCTATTTCTAATTCTATTCATTGTTGTGGCCTTTTCTCGTCGTCCATGACGCAGCCATAGAGTAGGACAGACCACACATAACATCTCAAGCCGCTTGTCGGGTGCCCCGTCGCAAAACTACCCGTTTTACCACGAGTACACGGTTCGGTGTTAATAAAAGGCCGTTTAAACTAATAAACAACTTTATTCAATCTTAATCGAGTATAAACAATTGCTGGCCTGGTGCGTAGAACTATCGAACAAAAAACTAAATTGTGCGTACCTTCGACATCAGTACAACCCCCGGCAACGCCCTTAGCTCCTGGTACCTCGACGTTCCACCAGAGGCAGCCGTGGGTGGGCTTACTTAAGCGCCGCCATCTCTATTCGTTCATGACGTGTAATATAGAGATGACATAGAGACGTATATTTACATAGCTCTGGCACCACTCTTACAAAGATGCATTGACATAATTCTGTTACATAGAACAGGTTTCCATGTCGTAAAAGCTTTGCGTGATATTTCAATCCGTGTTGCTATCACTTCATCAGAGTCCGCATTCGCCTTACGCCATCGAGCTTGGCCCCTTATGTATATTTATTTTTCCGTTTGCCAGGCATTTTTCTTTTGCGTGTTGATTTTGGGACGTCTCAGACAAATTGCTTCATTCACTACATTTATTAATGTTTGGGGGCCTTTCAGATTTTCTGCCATAATGGCTGTATTGTCAGCGTATCTAATATTGATTGTTTCTCCGCCGAGTCTTATGCTCTCCTGTCGGTCATCTAAAGATTCCTTGAATATTTCTTCTGAGTAAGATTAAGTCTGAGTGAGATTAAAAAAGCTCGGCGATGGAACACAGCCTTGTCGTACCCCATATTTAATGGGCAGTTTTTGAGTATGATTGTCTTCGATTTGGACGGAGGCTACATGTTTGTAGTATAGGGATTTTAGTATTTTGATATCATAGTTGTCCAGTCCAGTTATTTCCATGTATTTAAAAAGTGGGACGTGTTGTACTAGGACAAATGTTTTTTCGAAGTCGGTGAAGCAGATGTAGACATTCTTTCGAAATTCACAACTTTTCTGGAGCAACGCGCATGCAGAATAAAGCCTCTCTAGTCCCCAGACCACTTCTAAATCCGAACTGCTTGTCACTTATTTTACTTTCGCATAGTAGGAATATTCGGTTTTGTATTACTCGTAAAAAGATCTCGAGCGTGTGACTCATTAGACTGATAAGTCTAAAACCGCCACATGTATATTTTATTAAAAAATGTGGTTAGCCAAACAATACTCTCTTCGTGTAGAAGTTTAAGCAATTCAGCAGGAATTTGGTCTGGTCCGGGCGTCCTGTTATTTTTTGCTTGCTATACTGCTTTCTTGACCTCTGCTTTCAGTAGGTATACTGGGGCTTCTGTCCATCTCGTTGTCACAGATCGTGTGTGTCCTGTTTCGTCGGTTGGCATAGTCGAAGAGGTCAGTGACGTACTTCTCCCATTCTCTTCATTGTTGTTTGTGATCTAGGAATTTTCCGTCCGAGTCTTTGAGTAGGTTGACACGTTTTGGTTTTTTCATTCCGGAGGTATTTTTTAATGTTTTATGGAGATTGAAGCTGTCGTGCTTTTTAAGGAGATTTTCAATTTCTTTACAGCTGTTTTTAAGGCATGGTTCTTTGGCTTGCTTAATTTTATTTTTTATGGTTTTGTTGATATCGTGGTAGCTGGTAATGTCTTTGTTTTTATATCCTCTTCGGGATTCCATTATATTCAAAATTTCTTGTGTCATCTACTCGTTTTTTCCTGTTCTCTTAGATGGTTTTAAGAAATCCTTAGTTCTATAATTGGTCTTTGTATCTCATGCCATTATTCATTGATGATTCTGATCTGTTGAATAGTTGGCGTTTTCCTTATTTTGTGGATTTATGCGTTTATTTGTTGATATATCCGTTCACGCGTTTCAGAAGGGATCAAGGCACATTCTGTTTGGTTTATATTGTTTTGTTAGTCATTTTAATTTTATTTGAATTTTGGAGCAGAGTAAGTTGTGGTTTGAGTTTGTCGGCGCCTGGTTAATGCTGTTCCGGAATTGGTGATTTATCAAAATGTAATCTATTTGATTCCGCACTATTCTACCGTTATGTCCATCCTGCGGTGATTTGCATGTATACTATATGCGTCTTTCTGGAACTTCGAACTAAGTGTTGGAAACAACAAAGTCAACCTCTTGGCAGAATTCAATTAGTCGCAACTTTCTTAAGAAGAAAAGTAGGTACTTTCTTAAGAAAAAAAGTAGGTACTTTCTTAAGAAGAAAAGTAGGTACTTTCTTAAGAACAGTCTATATCATCAAATAACTATGATTTTTTAATTCATTGAATAATAAAAGAAACGCATATGTTGTAGGTATTTAACATTGTAACCTTAGTTTAGTAATTTTAAGTTTAATAAATGGATACATATTTAAGATAAAGGGGAGTCGAGATTACTATCAAAATCAAACATTTTTCTCGTACTTAAAATCTATAGTATAATTCTGATTGGATAACACATTATCAATAATTTCCATTGATAATTATCAAAAATGGACATTTCCATTTGAAAAAATTGAATTTGGGCCTTTTTCTCAAATGTATTTTGAAACTTATTTTTTTAACACTTTGTATCAATAGTTTTCAAAATCTTGTCCAACTTCCAGTAAAGTAAGTTCTTTTGCAATAGTGAAATCAGGTTCCCTACAATCTATTTCTGACGTTGCAATGATATTTCCAAATTTAATAAATGATAGTGAACTACAAGGTGTGGACACAGAATGACGTCTGTTGCGAAATGTTGAACAAATTAAAACGTTTTCTGGAAATATTGAAGAGTTTTGGAACCAAGTACAAATATTGAAATATGGAGATGATACATTCATGTTTCCAATTTTAACCAATTTTATCAGACTATGAAGGCTTTCACGGCCGGTTAAATCACATTTAGGAATGTTTTCCGGGCTTTGACGGAAATCTTCTACGGACTGCCCAAGATCCATAAACCGGATGTACCACTGAGACCCATTGTGAGCGCCATTGGAAGTCCAACCTACAATATTGCAAAATATCTAGCTAAAATATTACAGCCAAAAATTGGAAAAACGGACAGCTTTATAAAGGACTCATCCCATTTTGTTCAGAGGTTGCACTCGTTGTCGTTGTCGCCCGGGGAAATCCTTGTGAGTTTTGATCAGGGAGGCAATGGAACTCGTCGCGAGAGAATTTCCACCAGACATCGCCAAACTCTTCGAACACTGTCTAACCACAACCTACTTTCAGTGGAACAGCGAATTTTTTGAGCAGACGGATGGAGTAGCAATGGGCAGCCCTATTAGTCCAGTGATAGCCAACTATTTTATGGAAACATTTGAGAAGAACGCTCTGGACACAGCCGTGAGGAAACCTAAGTGTTGGTTTCGCTATGTTGATGACACTTTTGTTGTTTGGGGCCATGGTCTGACTGAACTTGAAGACTGCCTGAGGCACCTCAACTCAATAAACCCTAAAATTAAATTTACTATGGAAGTATAGATGGATGGGCGATTGTCTTTTTTGGATTTCTTGGTGACCAGAAAAACCAACGGAAAGCTGGCCCACACGGTGTACAGAAAACCGACACATACCGACCGGTACCTGCACAGTGGTTCAAACCATCAT